ACTGTGTACCTCTGAGGATGGAGGGCTCTGAAAGAGTTTCTTTTCCTAATGAATTTAATGGAATAGAAATGGAAAGGTGTCTAAGTAAGGATTTACATACACATTCGATATTACTTGAGCATTTCTTCATCTTACAAAGTTGGCAAAAGATCAGACTGCAGGTGACAGCACAATGCCATGTACTGTCTCTTATAGAGAGGGGGCAGGAACAATCTGGAAGGCCTTGGGAGCTGTGGAAGCCTTCTCATGAAGAACTGGCTGATTTCTCAGGCGGCTCCTCCTCCGCTAGGTGTTGATAGGAGAAGCTGTGTCCACAGCTCTCTGTACGTCAGTTCATTATAAATTTCATTTCAAGGTAAGCAATTTCAGAGAATGCCTTTGTGAAAATATTTCTTGGAACTAGCAATAGAGATCTGGTGTTTGACCACTTATTATGTTTGCATTTCAGCAACAACATTATCCTTATTTATTCTTTTACTGAATTTGTTCAGCGTACGATAAATCTGTCAGTTTTATAGGCCTCGCGTGGAAGATGGCCAATTCTGATAAGAGATAATATGCACATTATCATTTACATCAATTCTGCAGGATTAACCAGATTTAATGGTATGAGGCTATGTTGTGAGCGACAGCTTCCTTAGCTTAGAAGTTACATTGATGAATTCCATGCAAGAAGAGTGCTTTTTATTTTCAATTGTGTTGAGGTTTAACATTTTCCTTTCCTTTCCTGTCAATATGGTAAGGATTTAACTGGCATTGTTCACCCCTCCCAGAATATTGTTTCTTAAAAAAAACTGTTAATCTTGTGCAGAAACTCTAAGGTCTGCTTTATACCAGTTGCTCTCAGAGGGTGGCCGGGAGGCGTGCTGTCCCAGTGAGCAGGACTGTGGTCGTGCTGGAGATGGCAAGAAGGGACAAGTCGGAACTTCTTTTCCAGTCTTGTCCTTCCACAACCCCCAACATCTGGGAGAAACTCTTCTCGGTGACTGTAATTACCATCAGTTACGACCCAAGAGCTTGCTTGTGTCGTTTTCGGTTTTTCTGATTTATGTTGAACAGTTTCAGCATTGAGAGTGAAACGCTCAAGCATTTTAATTTCCTGTGAATGCTGAAAACATGCAGAACTTTGAAGGAACTCTTAGTTTAGGCCTGCTTACAAAATGAAATGTCTAAACCTCAGGGCTGCTCTTCAGTACTTTTTCTCTCCTACCTTTTCGTCGGAGATTATTTCACTTTGATCTACAAAAATGCCTTAAAACTCACCCATCCACATAGTTTCTTTTATTTTAGATGGTTTTTCCAAGTGTACGTGCACACTAGAAGTCATAGGCCTACCTACCTATGTAATCTATTGCTCTATCTGTGCTTTTTATCGGAGTCACTTGAGTGGGGGGAAATTAACTCACCTAAGCCCCAACCACACCTTCTGGTGTGAAATACTAGCATTGCTGGCAGCTGAGCTCACATCGGGCGTGCAGTTCTATTTGCGCGCCTCATTAGTGAGGTTAACTGTTATTTATTTGGTTCATCCACTGAAGAGCAGGACATAAACTCTGCTCCAGGATTACATCCACTCTGGCCCTGTGGCAGGCAAGAGGCAGCGTGGGAGCCGGCCACCGCCTGTCACCACCTTGCTCCCCCTCCTCTCCTCCCTGCTCAACCCTAAATTCACTGCCTTTCCTTTTTATTCCACCTGGGAATCTGTGGGGCTTTTCACCTTGGTTGAGGAGCAGTGATTCCGGGGCCTCCCCAGCCTCATGTTCGTGGCAGGCAGGGTGCGTCCACCTGTCCGTGGCCAGTTACTACAGATCGCCCCCTGTCTTTTTTCTCCTTTTGGTGGTTTAAAGGGTGGTTGGCATCATGTACTGGCCATACACAGCCCAGGACAGTTGCTCAGAAAAGGGACATATGGGGCAGACACAGAAAAATAAGGACACAAGCATGTTCATAAAGCTGAAATGTTTAGGTTTTAAGGGAATGTATTCAAGGTACCATCACATAAGAAAAGGAAAAACTTGGCTCTTCAAAAGGAAACTAATGATGTTTTAAAACTACAGTTACAGTGGTTTGTGAGCCAGCCTTCAGTCGGTACAAGTAAAATATAAACAGTCTGCTAAAATGGCCTTAATATACATAAACCAGAAAACATTCGCTCCTGGCTTCACTCACTGTCTCCTAGTCCCTTGTTGAACACCTCAGTGCCGTCCCCGCATGCAAAGGTACAATTATCCGTGTCTCTATTGGGGGAACTTGAAAGTAGACAATGCTGATGCTAAATCCCAAAGTCTGTGCATACGACTTAAGTACAATGGTCACGTTGTAATTGTCTGTTGAAAAGCTTTCTGATCTTTCTGATAGAACTGTACTTTTTAATATACATCAACAAACTTATCACATATACCTACAATACGGGGCATTTTGTTATATGTTGAGGGTTACATTTGCATGATAAAAATTTACTTGAAATCTTAGGATTTATAGAAGGCTGCTTCCAAGGTAAAAAGTTCCTGGGATTTTTCTGATGGTGGTGGCGGTGGCGGTGTTGGAAGCTTTCTTAGATTGGATGAGTAATGTTTTTTGTCACATGCTCATGAGTGAAACCCTGGGAATTGTGGTTCCAAGAGAAATACAGAAAAAATACAGAGTGTAGGGCATCACCTGGGAAGAGTTTGGTGTCCAGGTTTTTGTTTGGCCTCTGGGCTTCTTTCCTGGGCGTCACAGTCAGAGGAGTGCATACGGCTGTATGACACCCTCACCTTTTACTTGTTTCTCTCCCCCTCACCTGGTTTTCTTCTGGAGAGAACATTCCTCCGTGCTCCTCACACACCAGCTTGGCGGACCAAGGCTCAGTGAGTGCATGATGTGTAGGGGAGGTCTTGCTGCTTCCCCCACCTGACCTGTGACTGCGTGGTTAGAGGAAGATTGGCTTATTTGATGGAAGACCCTTTGCTGTACGTTTCTGTGAAGAGCAGGAGTGGGTCGGCCTGGGTCTCCGTCCCAGTTCTTGCTAATCCGCTCCCCAGCCCTGTGCCGGAGATGCTGCTGATTACCGCATTGTACAGAAGAGGTCATTAAGGCATGAGAGGCGGCTTCGTAAGGTCCCACCAAGAGGTGCAGTTGGACATGGATGCTGGCCATTTGCTTCTCAGCCCTACTGCCGCTCATGGTCCTGTTTTGATGATTAAGTTCTATCTGTAAATTTCTTGGTACAGAGTGAATGCTAAATGAATAGTAACTAAATACAGATTATGCCTATTATCAGCCCAGAATTCTGACGACAGCGCAGGACCTTGGGGCTTGTTACACTGCTGCGGGCAGCAGAAAGCTCAGGCCTTGGCTTTCAGATTCGTCCCCTCCTGTGTGACCTGTTGAATACAATGTGCAATTGGTGCGAACTTCCTCTGCTGCTACAGTGTTTCTTCGTCCTACTTACACGTGACTCCTAAAAAAATTAACTCCGCTGCCCCCTTGGGTCAGAGTTGAGTCCAGGAGTGATTGTAGAGAGCCTGAGCATCCCGGATTACGAGGAGGGGACAGGTGGGCCGTGTGATCGGTAGGTGACAGCGATACAGTGGTCACTCTCAGGTGGTGTTTTCTTAGCCCACCCTCCTCTTTCTCAAATTCTTGACCTTCCACCGACTTGCCCTTCCCTCCAATTTTTCCAACCTGGAAATGAAGAAAAGCCACCACAGAAAGAGAAGGAGGGCGGAGGTGATTTTAGGAGCCTGGGGGACAGAAGGCAGAGGAAATAGCATGGAATTGAGCTCTAGGAAATACTTTTACAGGCTGGATAAAACCTTTTGGGCTGCTGTTTGTTTGTTTGTTTGTTTGTTTGTTTATTGGGGGGAGGGGCAGTTAGCAGTTATTGAACACCTTGAGTAACAACTGTCTATGTCAGGGGTCCTCAAACTACGGTCCGCCGAAAACATTTATCCGGCCCGCCGGGTGTTTTTGCTGCCGCTGTGTGCATAGGAATTTGTTCATAGTTTGTTTTAAACTATAGTCTGGCCCTCCAATGGTCTGAGGGACAGTGACCTGGCCCCCTGTTTAAAAAAGTTTGAGGACCCCTGGTCTATGTCCTCAAAATCTTTCTCAGTCTCTTTGTTAGTTTGTTGAGAACTCAGCCTCTATTGCTGTTGGATTTGCATATTTAAACATTATTTGGATTCTACTAATGATGAACACACTGTTTCTTATTATATGTCCTTATATTTTCTTACTGGAAGGTATTCAGCCAGCAGGAGCCAGTAATTCTCCTCCTCGGTTAGGGTCAGTAATGTTACCTGATTTTTTTAGTATATCTTAAAACCTTGGGTGATAGCAGCAAGAACCCACGGAGGGCTGGGGAGGGAGTCAGGGATGTGACAGGAAGCCGTGGCTGGGAGGTGTGCTCAGGTAGGTGAGCTGCCCTGGGTGGAGCACTGAGGGAGGAGCAGGGAGGTAGGAACCTCCTGTTAGAGGGCCACTGCTTAGGGAGGCCTTGTGCGGGCCTAGGAGAGAGGTGTCATATCTCCCTGGTCGGATTTGGAAACGTCCAGCTTTGTGGCGTGGCACTACCTCTTCCCAGAGCAGTCTGTCATGGGTGAGCTATTGCAGCACGGGCTTCGCATTGGCCAACCCAAAACAGAGACTGGGAGGAGCCCCTTACAACACCTGTAGTTTCCACATGTGCAAGAGCGCGCCTGAAACTGGAGGCTGGTGCAGAAACCAGGGCCAGCAGTTGTGGTTCATGGTACTGATGAAATACGAGGCCTGGTGAAAGGGTATGGGCCCAGTGAGGTAGGCTTGTTTGTTTTTATGAATTGTAACCTTTACGTTTGCTTAACCTTTTAACAAGATTTTTTTTTAAAAAGCAGCCTTTTTGTTAAAAGTTATACTCGAACATCAGTCAAAACCGTTGTCAAATTTCTGATAGGAGTCAAAGTTTTTTCATTATTGGTAAGTTGATCAGACACTTGATCATCAGCTCTTTTCACTTTCCCCCTTGTTTTCTGTTTTAGTTGCTGATATGTGTTCAAGATGAGTGGGATGGGAGAAAACACCTCTGACCCGTCCAGGGCAGAGACAAGAAAGCGCAAGGAATGTCCTGACCAGCTCGGACCCAGGTTAGAGGATTGCCCACAGAAGCCACATGCGGCTTCTTTGATATTGTAGCACTGATTTTACGCCTGATTTGATACTGTGATTGGTTTTTCTCCTTAACTGTTAATCAAATATGTATTATTTAGCTGACATTTTGGAGATGCTAATCAGTTACAGATCTTATTATTTTTTCTAAGAAGAGAAAAGCTACATTCTTCTGATATCCCCTGAGTACTTGACGCTTAAAACCTCTTTATTCCATAATCTTGAGCTTTTCACACTCTTTTCTGTTCGATCACACTGTCATAAAGACAAGAAGATCCCAAACTAAAAGGATTGCAGTTAATTTTATACTGGGTTTTATTCTGTTTTTTTGTTTGTTTTAATGAGCAAGACATGAAATGTTATATCCGCTTGCTTTGATTTTATAACAAAGACTGTGGCTCTGCAGTGAGCACAGCAAAAAGTTTTACAGCAAGTTCCATGTCATATATTATGGGTGGATGTATGAGTTGTTATAGCCTCCATGCAGGATAATTTAGCAGTACCTTTTTAAAGTTATAAATGCATATTCTCATTGAACTAACAGTGTTCCTCTTCTAGGAATTTTCCAACAGTATACTTTTACATGTGCAAAATTATGTATGTTTGAGCTTACTTTGAACAGCGTTGTTTATCATTGCAAAAAAGTTAGGAAAAACCTAAATGCTTGTAGGCTTGTATTTAAACTATTTAAATGTCTATAACCTGGAACACAATACAGGTTATTGTGAAAAAGAATGTGGACATTATTAATGGGATGACATGAAAAAAATCTGTTAAGAATATTTAAATCATGTCATTGACTTTAAAATTTAAATAGAAAGAGCAACTTCTATTAAATGGCCAGTAAAATGATGAGATGGGGAACAGCAGGGAAGAGGACTAGAGATCGTCATTAAGAGCGGAAGAGAAGGAGAAAGAGCAAAGAGCCAGTGTTTTATATTTCCTTCTCTCCTTGTAGTGCCAAGCAAAATAAGCCTGTTAAGTCACCACTGTCCACATCCCAGCTCCTGTGTGTTGCCTCTAGATTCCCTAGTACTTCCTGGCTAACCACAGTCTGTCAGTCAAACTGCCTGCGGTGCTCAGAGCCCTCCTCCAGCAGGCAGTGTGGTAAACTGGCGTGTTCCCGTGGAGGGGCGTTCTCTGTGCAGGTGCCATGGGGGGTGGGGGGAGGGGGTGACTCCAGCCCTCTCCCTGGCACTCTCCCATCTTTGTAGCACAGCTCCCCCTTCACCTATTTGTCATTTACTTATTGTCTTGGGGAGTGAGAGAGGGGAGAGATGGAGGGAGGAAGAGGTGGATATAGGGGTCCAGAAGGGGAACTTGGCTCCTACACAAATTCTAGCCACTCCCTCCCTTTCCCTGCACTTAATCAGCTAGAAGCGAGGAATACACATGAGACTTAAGGAAACCAAATTCAGGTCTTTGCTCTACTGGGTGATCTTGGACAAATGGTATAACCACTGTAAAATGGGGAAATTATATTCTATCTTAGGTTTATTAGTTGGTGAAAATAAATCTAATATTTAGAAGCTAATATATGGAAGTCTACTACAAACTACAGGATTTTATAAACTGCTGTTATATGCAGATAATACCAATTTGTTAAAAATACAGAAAGCGGCTACATTAAACAATTTGCTTTGTTTATATATTGTATTGTTTGAATGTCTTTTAGTGGGCCCTCTACTGTACTCGAGAACAAAAAGGTCCACTGTTATTATCAAAGGGAACTCTTGAATTTGCTGTTTATCAAATTCAAATGAGAAGATCTTGCCAGTTTTTTCCCCTCCCTACCATTAACGTTTTAAAACTTTAGTTGAACTTGGATCGTTTGTTTATATTTTGCATGTCATTCAGCTTAGACAGTTAACTACCCCGGTCAGTTTCGCTTTTGTTTCTAGTGGTACTGTGGTTTTTGCATTATCTAAAAAGCCTGTTTGGTTTGATTACTAACATCTTGAAGAAGTCTGTGAAATCATATAGATTTATTTATCTTAATCTTTTTATGCTTTATCAAAAATCGTTGAAATTTATTTTTATTTTAACTAGGTTAACTTCCCTTTCTTGTATTGACCTTACATAAACTTCAAAATTTTTATAGACATAACTTCCATTTTCTAAAACATAAAGGAATATTTTACTTACTCAGCAATAAATTTCATGGCCAAGCTTGGTGTCAAGCACTAGGTGAGCAAATTGTCTGATCCGTGTCAGTGGAAACAGTAAGCACATTGGACATATGATGACACAAGTAAATATATAATTATAAACTGGGGTAAATTTAATTTTTTTAAAAAACATGCAACATTTAGAGCAAATTCAGGTTTCTCTCCCCCCACCCCCAAAGTACTTTTGTGTTTACATAACTTCTGTTGGCTTTCTTTGTATTAAAACTTGTTTGACATGCTTATCTTTTTCAAAATAGCTCTTCTTCAAATTCATAATAAAAACATGTTTCTTTTTTTTTTTTTTTTTAGCCCCAAGAGGAGCACTGAGAAACGCAATCGTGAACAGGAAAATAAATATATCGAAGAACTTGCAGAGCTGATATTTGCAAATTTTAACGACATAGACAACTTTAACTTCAAACCTGACAAATGTGCAATCTTAAAAGAAACTGTGAAGCAAATCCGTCAGATCAAAGAACAAGGTAAGAGGACCAAATTGATATTTTGGAGAGTTTAGTTGGTTTCTGGTTTTCCATGTGTGAGAAGTCTCTTCAGAGTCCCTTTAATCCATTTCTTCAGCTTAAATTATTGATGAGGAAATGATGTCACAGAGCGAGATGAATGCAAGTATCACTTGCAGTGGGGTATAAATAGGCTTTATGTAAAATTCACCAATTCCCTGAGGTGCGGCCGGGTGATGTCACTTTTTGTCTGGTAAACTCCGTGAGGTGCCCACAGCCTCTGCCCATCTTGGACTTCCGGAGCTTGCATGGCAAGCGACTGTCATAATCTGCAAGAGAGGAGCCAAGCGAAGATGGAGACCAGAAGTAAGGGAGTGAGCCTCCTGTTCCAGCTCGTCAGCATATTTGATGAAGTCTGAGCTCCGACCGGCCGCCCCACTAGATTAGAATTTCATATCCTGAGTGACAAGCGATTTGAAAGGCTCATGCCTCTACACGGAATTCTTTTGTGAAGTTGAAACACAGAACATGACAGCTTTCTTCCTGGGGTTTTCTTTTTTTCTGAGATCATTTTCTGCCTCTCTTCTTTGATATTTTTGCCTACAGAAAAACTTTAAGAAAATAATATTTGAAAAAACACATTAGACTTTGTGGTGCCAAGAAAATATCTGTATTAGGCAAGTATGAACAGTGCCTCGGTGCTCAGGGCCAATATATGCTCTTGAAGTATTCACACGCTGCTTCCCTTCAGGGCGAGGGAGATGAGTATCTCCTGTAATCTGTTTTTGAATGCATCCTCTTAGAGTATCTACCTTTTATGTAATATTCAAAAGAGGCAGATTTTAGAACAGTGATGTCTTTGTCTGTATAGGTATATGAGCCTGAAACCGCCTGATCCGATCTATTATAAAATCCCAGCTACCTACTCGCATATTATCATCAGAGCCTTTTCCATTTTCATGCATGTACTATTAAGCTAAATTTTATATAAAGCAATTTTACAAATGTAATTCTGTCTTCTAAGAACTTCTAAGGAATATACATGTAGCATACACAATGCAGTTTCTAATACCAGCCCACCCCGAAAATCAGTCTTTATTTCCTGGCTTTTCTGTCAAGATTATATCATAACATTCACCATTCAAGGCGTTTCCACTCTCAATGCCTGTCTCAGTCTCCCTTCATCTCTCTCCTTTTCCCCATGACACTCACTAGTTACCAAAAACTCAGTTAATCTCCAGTGTGTATCTTCATTCTTTGGTATCAGCAAACGGATAAAATAATATTCCTAAAGCTCTTAGGAGAAAAAATTGCTTAAGGTTTCACAGTGTTGTGCAGTTGCCATATTTCTGGTTGCTGATACCATTGCAGTGGAGAAATCACTAAGTTTCTTGTTTCAGATTTCTAAATTTTGAATAATTCAATTTTGTGAACATTGCATGGTAGGCAGTACTTTACACTTAAAACAGTTACATATATATATTTTTTTCTATCAAGGTCTTGCACAAGGTTTTAAAGTTTTGCAAAACCTTGGTAATTCCCCCTTCAAACCATCAAACACGTTCGGATGTGTCACGCTGGGCCTGTGCCATACTTTCACTGTGGGTTTAATCATGGGCTGCACACCACAACCACCCAAGAAGCAGCAACAATAAACACCCTGTCACGTCTTATTCTTCTAATAATGTTCCTATTAATTTGAAAGCTAATGTGTTTTGAAAGGGGAAACAGAACTTAAAAACCAAATGAAAAGAACAAATACACTTTCAAGTTTTCAGCTAGTCTAGTACTGTAAGAAGATTTCTTGTTTAGTAAACTGTCTTTAAAAAGAGCAGGACTTGAGAAGCAAATAGGACAGAAGCTGCGTTGTGCCCTGGTTCTGCCCCTGACAAGCTGTTTGAACCAGGGCAAAGTATTTCCTCTCTCTGAGACTCAGTTTCCTCCGTCAGAATTTAGCAAGCACAACATCGAGCTTGCACAGTTGTTGAAAAATTTATGAGCTAAGTGAACACACTCAGCAAGTGCCTGTCGCAGTCGATGGTTATTAGGTGTTCAGTAAGTAGCGTTCCCAGAGGTGGCATTTTCGTCACTTATACTAAGATCTTCAGACAGTTAGTGCTTCCTTCAGATGGAACGGGGGTGGTTATGGACATCCTCCCCTCCAGGGACATCTGAAGCAGTGAGGTTCTTGGTGTCTGTGCTTGCCCCTCACCCGCTCCAGCTCTGCATGGGCCAGTGTGCTTCTCTCAGCACCTGCCAGCCACTAGGGCTCAAGAGCAACACAGAAGTGTGACCTGAGCCCTTCTGTCTCACTCCGTATGCCCGCCCACCCAGCCGATCCCCGTTACTCAGTATAAATAAATCTAACCATCATCTTGACAACATTGTCCAAGCTTAATTTGTATTTTAGCCACATGCATCAGCCTGAATGGAATCATTACTGTCCTAGAGAAGTTAAGCTGGATTACATGAGATGTTGCACCAAAGAATACTTCATCGGGAATGCCAGGCTCATCCTTAGGGAACCTTCCAGTGTCCAAGGCGCAGGCAGGTCAGCCAGCATGACGAGCTCTTGCACTCAAGTCTACTCTGTCATCAGCTGCTCCTCAAGTTTCCGTCGCTTCATAAATAAAGGGAGAGAAGAAGGGATGTTTTTAACAGCCTAACGGATGGGAACTTGGAAGGGAACTACCAGCTCTTCACATAAAGGAGCATCCTCTTGTATGAAGTGGTAGGGAGACTCGTGTTTGTAGCCACCAGCCCTCGGAGAGCGTTCACACCGGGTGGGCCTTGTTAGGAGCAGGGCAGGTCCAGAGTCTGCGCTTGAACCATCCAGCAGCTTTTTGATACTGAAGGATGATGTTTCCTCCTGTTTGGTACGATGCTGATTAGTGTTTAAAACTTCAGGCTTCTATACCTTACAAACAGCAGTCATAAATGGTGAAAAAACCGAATTCCTCATTGGAGGGCTAATATTGCTTCTGTTTCACAGAATAATAAGTAGTACAAAAAATACAATAGTCTATTTTGGATTACAATGTCCAATTTCACACTTTTAATCAGAAAAGTTAAATAGGCAAATTCCTATGCTCTTAAAAAATAAAATTGACTCAAACTACCTAATTAAAAACTGGTCAGAGCACCTGAATAGACACTTCTTCAAAGACATACAGATGGCCAATAGAAATATGAAAAGATGCTCAATGTCAATAATCATCAGGGAAATGTAAATCATAACCACAAATATCACCTCACACCTGTCAGAATGGCTATTATTAAAAAGACAAAAAGAATAAGTGTTGGGGAAGAAGTGGAGAAAAGATGACCCTTGTGCACTGTTGGTGGGATGGTAAATGCATGCAGCCACTATGGAAAGCAGTATGGATATTCCTCAAAAAAATTAAAAATTAAACTACCACATGGCCCAGCAGTCCCACTTCCATGTATTTATCTGAAGAAATGACTTGTTGGACTAAGCAACCTAAAAGGTCACTCTCATTTCTCATTCTGATTTTTCTAATGATACAGTTTTGATTGTAGTGCCAGTATGAGAACATTGGGATTGTAGATTACTTTGTACATTTGAATTGCCCCTAATATTGAGGATAGCATCAAAAAATAAAGAAGTATTTTAAAGAGGGTGAGGGTCAGTGATTTAGTGGAGTCAACTCGCATCAACCAATGAGAGCCAATTGCTACATTTCAAGAATTTTTATAAGCCAATTGATAAACAACCATTATTAAAAATCATATAGACTTAAATTAAATTATATTACAAAACAAGCATAAGAAAAACGAAAGCTCATCATTTCCTAATTATGCTACTTCATTTTACCCTTATCTATGCTGTAGAGGCTCTTTGTGTCATATCTATTTACATGAGAGAAATACTATGTAGTGGTGGCTACTACACACCTCTTCCGAAGTCTGCATTCAATACCGAGTATTCCCACCATGGAAATCTAAAAAACAGTAAACTCTACAAATCAAGGCTTGACTTACTGTTTTGTTGACTGTCATTCTAAACATAAGAAAGTAGTGGAGAAAGTATTAATAATTAATACTTTCAAATGGATTGTAATACTGTACAATCCACTATATCTTCCCAACCTGTTGTACTGGTAGAACAAGCAAGAGGGAACCGTCACTGTTCTTGTGTACTTTAGGTTAATTTTCAGGCTATAGTGGATTGTACAGTAAGAAATCATCTATCAGGGTCTCTAGGCTCTGGTAGAACATTACGTAGCCAATACATACACACACAAAAATTATGACCAATGCAGCAAAAAAGTCACTCACAAGTTGAGAAACAATTGCATTTCTACATATAATATCCTCACCATATATCTTTATTATTTCACTTTTGTCTTATTCATTAACTTATATGAAAAGGTCAAATCACCTGTCCCCTCTCCAGCTCTCTGGTGGACCTTGTCGGCTCTTGCTTGTCCCTGTTACCTGAGTGACATGTTCAAGAATTTTTCTTTAAGGAGAACTAAAGAGGGCAAAAGTCATGGCAATTTTTATTTCACTCTTATTTACTTGAACACAGGAATGAATTTGGCTCTATCTTACTATTGGAGATCTGAAGCTATTATCTGTTTTCTTAAAAATAAATCAAACTTTCTTTCCTTGTTTGACAATATAACCTGTGGTCGGCATTCTGCTCTTGACATTGCAATTTTGAATGAAGATAAAATGTTTTTTCGCTGATCTGCATATAAATCACTTTCCTATTCTTATGTGGCTCAATGGCTCATGTTATTAATGAAATTCGTGAGCAGGGGTGGAATTCCTGCTCTTATTTTCTCCTCAGACCCCTTATTATTTTTTCTTAAGCATATGAAAACGTTATTTTTGTTAGTTTAAGAGCTTTCAGATGAAGAGGTTTTGAATAATTTAATGTACCCTAATGCTTCATGATTTTAACAATTTATGACATGAGCTCTAATTTCAACAACTTACACTGCCTTCCACACTCTAGAAAGGAGGCATCCCGTTTTGCCTTGATTGCCTTGTAT